CGGTCGTCTTCAGCGAAAACATGTAAGCTTATTATAAAAAGAAAAGACAGGGCGGCTTGCAAGACGAGTTTTAATCCAATGGATATGGCTTTCAAAAGAATAATCCTTCGTGTGAAGCATAAAAAACCCGCCTATTGCATTACCCCTGAGCCCACCCGAAATATTTCACGAACGTGAAGAAACATTCAGTATTGCAGCATGGGTAGAAACGCAACTGTAGGAACAATTCCCGTTTGCATTTTACTACATTGATTGATTCAAAAGCCCCGCCACCTAAAGAGCCTATAAGTTCCCCGAAAAGATCCCGCACTGTTAGCACAGTCCAACGACGGCGTCCAATGAAGTTTGTCCAATAAAATTGTGCAACGTTGCGATCGATAATGCGAGTACAGACGATATACTGCGCCTGCATCCCTTTTTCCGATTTAGTCCGCAATTTTTTGGGCTTTTCCATGTTGCGCCTCATTGATTGTATGCACAGCGGAGGTCTGACACATTTAACCTTGCGCGCTTATTTTTTTTTCACCAATTTAGCTTAATCAATGATCACACGCCGGTTCGTCATTCGCCGTTTGGAAGTGTTTCTTATTACAATTTGCATGTCATACATGGTTGCCTGAGTTTTATTCTTGACTAAGACAAAATTGTAGGCAATGTGCAGCTGTTGTTCAGTCATGTATGGCGTGAATACGAGCGTTCATATGCCGTAACAGTTTAGGAGCAGAGCCCCCTTCCGAAATTCGAGATTCATTTCAGGAACGCCCATTTCGTGTCGGTGAACAAGCATCTGTTGTCAGACAAGAGCTGGAGGTGGGGGGGGGTCGTAACTGACGCCTCTTCGAGGGGGGGGGGGTCGTACTCACACCGCCATTTCGCACATCCCCATGCTTTCCCCTAATCACCAGGCACCCATTCTGTAACAGCAGTTCCGATGGAGTGTTTAAAACCTAAGAAGATAATCTCACACAACACGAAAAGTGTGCTTACTAGGCTTCCACTGTGAATTCGCTGTCACAAGCGGATAGCAATCACAAGCAAATGGGCTTGCTAAAGCATCTACTTATACGCACAGAAAAGAGAAAACTACTCAGAACCCGCAATGCAATGTAAATGGCGGCAAAATGTCATTTGTTCCAAACGGATACTCATCATCCTTCACTTCTCGAATCGAAAAGGTCTCTGACTCCTTTTTTACGGAATTCCCGCCTCATAACAGCCTATTACGGGAATCAGCGTAAAGGGGGTATTCTCGGGGCAACTCATTCATACGGTCTAACACCGAGTAATTCTCCCGGGGACTTGAACCTTGACCTTGAATGCACTCTGCACAAATTATAGTTGAAATGGATCGAGGTGATGTCAGGGGTGATCGCTCCAGGAAGAAAACAAAGTTGTAGAAATAGCCGCGTGTGAGCTCATTTCATGCCTCTGGCACCGCCCTAACTCACTGAACATCATCTGTAGTTGGTATTTCCCGCTAGCTCTCTCGATGTAATGCAGTATTTCTAGTATTTATTTCTATATAAGTCATTCAGCCCATGGTTCAAATGCCGCGCACGTGATGACCTATGGAACTTCGCAGAGTCGTCGCAATTTGGTGGTATAGTGCTTCATCGTACCACTTCTCTTAGAACTAAATATTTATAAAGGCAGAGCCACAAGCCCACAGTGGAGTAGTTAACGCTCTATATGTTCAACCTCAGTACTTACTCAGAAAGGAACAAAGAAAAAAAACAGTGAGGATGACGTGAGAGGGTGTTGGACTAGAATCACAGGAGGGTTTCAACAACCAAAAGAAATCATACTACGTATGGAAATGAAGTCATACGTGATCAAGTCATACACATTCATTGTTCTTGCTTTGTCTGGGCATGTCACATTGTAGTACACGAAATAGTTGTCGGCATACTGATAGCTTCACATATATTTGGAAAAACCAAAGCGTGGTCATTGTGACAGCCCCAGAATGAAGTCAATATCTAGAGCTCAAAAATCTCCACATTCATCATATTCAATAATATTTACCAGTATTCTGCTTTCCTCCGTCCCTTCCGGCTCCTGGCACGGAATCGATACCTTTCACTTAATCACATATTTATTGAAGTTTATTTTTAATTCTTTCGTTCCGTAAGAGAGGGACGGCTGAGACGACAGATGGCAAAGTAATCAGCAGTATCGCACTCCCCATGCGATCAAAGCTCGGGAGCTCCTGCCATGAGATTCCGGTAGGAGAGGAGCGCATCTGGACAGGAAATCTAGTCCAAAACCTTATAGGTATGTCAGCTTGATAGCTTCGCCTCACAGCCGCCCTTCCCTATGCCTTCTCCGACCCTCGCTGCCCTTCATACATACGCCTCGTTACATGCATACACCTGATCTATACTGCGCCTTTATACTATTTAGTTCAGATTGTGATTGGGAACTGGGCCTTCTGTGAAGTCTTTACTCGTTTTTCTTACAGCATGTTATTGTTGAGTTATTATTCTTTGATAATATTCTTTTATTATTGTTTAATCCCCCAAGTTTGAGGTGCTCAAATAACGTGGACTACAACTTGGCACCCTGTATTTCGCGTGGCACAACTTTATATTCCGCGTGGAACACCTTTCCTCCTGCGACGACCAACCCTGTACAAGTTTCGCATCAAAAAGTTGCAGGGAAGCGGCGGAAAGGCACAAAGTTGTTCAAACGAGTTCGCTAAGTAGACATCAATGGGTGTGTAGCAACAGAATCGTCCGGCGACAACAGCTGGTGGGCGTGGCCTGCGACATACTTGCGGCGAGACGAAGCGTGCTTCTGGCGGTTTGAATAGGGTTATTGAAGGGAAGGTAAATATTGATATCACCCAGGATCGAGTCTTGTGTTCAGTTACGGTTAAGTTTTCAGTTAGAGTATGAAAAAGTTCAATAGAGCACGAAATTCATTGGGGTCTTTAACATTTGCTCTGGTTTGTCATCTTTTACAGCAGCTCACAGAAAAACTTGGCCATCCGTCTATTATATTGACGCTGGCGACTGCGCAAATCATGTGAACCACATAAACATAGGGAGAATCACGGCCTTATCTGATTTCTTTTGTATCTGTTTATTTCCTGAAGTTGCGTTTATGGAACCGCCAAACAATTGTGTGTTACTATCAAGAAAACATCATTAGATTTTCAATCATTGATGAAACCTGCTAAATGTTGCGGATGTACGCTGTAGTAAATCATTTGCTCCAGTCGCAAAGCTATCGGCTAGCAAATGCACGTAAGTGAGCTGCTGAGTCATTCGCCGCGCGACGCGCCGCGTGCCGCGGGCGCTGCGTCAGGACGATTCTGTTGCACGTCTCCCTGACTCAACACACCTTGATAGATACATATCTCAGCGGTTGTTTTACTCGTTCGCGTGCTCTCTCGCCGCTCTTGTCTGGCTCCTCGCGCGAGAATCACATCGATTTTTTGCTCATCACTTAGCGCAGAGAAAGCCTAATTTGAAGAATTCTCAACTCATCCTTAGTTTTTTTTTATTTACAAGCAAGTCAACTGATATGTACACTTCTATTTCTAACCTCGATACCAATGGTCTTCTTGCTGGCTCATCACAATTTCTGTCTTTGGATCCATGAATACCAATATATTCGAGATCCCGCGATCATATTTGTTCTTTCAGCAGGGTTTCAACAAGCTTATGGTGCAGCTTTCTCCCGAATTGACGATTTCGGTGGCTTCGTTATGAGTTTAGGAAGAATGTGTGGTTCCGCGACCGAACATATCAAAAATCTCCTGTTATGGCCCCTGATAGTCTGGTCCTGCTATTCCTCTGTTTATTCAGGGAAGTCCCTACCTGTTACCTGGGTTCAAGCGATTATGAAAAACCTCGCAAGGAACTTCCTCCGTTGTGATCCCGTTGTGACATTTGGGGTCATTTACATACAAGTTCTTACGCTGAACAGCCATAATAAACTTCATACAAGGTCATTTGTAAAACAAAAAGCAGTGGCGGAATTTCGAAGGTTTCTACTTTCTAGCAAGACTTTCATTTTATCCCTAGGCCTGCTATTCGAAAAAATCCCCGTTGTGATGTGGACGCACCCCTTTCGGACGACACGGAAAACCCACCCTCCGACGCCATACCACTTCCAATTCGTTTGAAGACTTTGGTATGCTTCTAAAACACATGTTTCGCCAAGGGTATCAGGAAATAGTTCACTCGGCGCTGATTGGCATCATCTCTGCAATGCGCCATGCATATTGCTCTCACGCAGAGGTATTGGGAAGGTGCAACTTCTAGATAGGGCTTCCTCCTGCAAGTAGATGTGCTCCTGCGATCAGAAATGTCCGGAAGTGTATTTTCATCTGTTTATTAATTCATGACGGCCTGGTGGGCATCCATGGTTATCGCTCGTTCCCACTTCTGTTGCCAGTTGCTTCTGTCTTGCGTGTGTAAGGAGTTCTTCCACTATGTATTAGTATTTCCATCACTGAAAGCTGGAACGAGCATCTCAGTATCGCTGACACTCGCCACTTTCAGAAGGGCGACTGCTCTCAGGACTAGGCCCCCCTCTCCTTTGGTCGAATACGACCTCTCCCCCGCCCTGTTGTGATTACACGATGATGTGCCCCTGAGCGTGAGGACGCCTGGCTGCGAATACTACGCACATCAACCCGCTTGCGGCGCATATTTTGCCGCACTCTCCGGGACTGGGAGGGAACTCCTAGCGACATCAGAGCTTTTCGCTGTCATGTTGGCGGCGTACAAGAATGCGGAGTTCTGGGCTGAAAAACTTGACCGTAGATAGTGTTTTAAGCTGTACCTCACGCTTAGCGCTGGAATGATGTTGTAGTGCTCGGATGTCTTTCATACTTGCCTTTAAACCCGGCTTACAACGAAAATGTGCTACCCGAGCAACTGAATTGCCGATATGGCAGAGTATGAATGCAACTATACCCGCTGCCTGATGTTGTTTTCTTCTATAAACGATAGAACCGTGAAGTCGAGTATAATAGGGAAGTACAATTTTTATGCATTGTCGCTACCGTACCAATACTTCTTAAGCATCCAATCTGCATTTGTTATGACGAAAAATGTCTCAATATCTTCTTTGCGGACCAATGTGAACGTGGAATTTGAAGACCACCAGGTGTGGTATAGAGTTTTGGTGTAAAGTGAAACTTTGTCCCAAATGCCAACATGCTTCACACCACTCCTGTTTGCTAACACTCCGGTTACGAAGACATCATCGATCTGAAGAATGGCCATTCACTATTATGATTCGAGTGGTATTCCACTGCAAATATTTTTAGGACTGTTATGAATGTTAATGAGGCTGCTGGAAATTGGGCTCTCATTTAAGGGAATACAGTACTGCGGCTCATGGCTTTTACGCTACGTTTTGGGTTAGTGAGCTTGAGCACTAGAAAAAAAGCAACAGAAAGTTCAAAGGCTCGAATAAAGTTTTGCAATCGAAGAGTAAGAGAAAAAGACTCTTTTCCGAACTTAACACTATAGGAGCACATGCTTCACCCAGAAATATCGTTCTTCACTAGCGGCTTCGAGTATTGATAGAAAAGCCTCCCGTGACATCACGTAAGCAAATCCAGTGCAGTGCGGCGGATATCTTTTCCCACTGTACTCTTCTTCAGTGACATGCCTGAAAAAAATCAAAGGTGGAGGGTTCAATGGAAGAAAATGGGACGAAAGCGTTAGCGTCATTGGCAGTAAGGCGCTAAGACCATACCATACCATACCATACCACCTTCACAAGAAAAGTTGTTGTTGCAGCACGGGCCCAACGGCTCGTGTGGCCCGACGGCTTTGGCGCTGACAGTGCGCGCTTCGCCTGCAAGCCAACACCATCACTGCTTTTGGATAACTGGAGTGCTGTTTATCCCCACCATCCGAGTTTTGAGCTTTCTATCATTGAAAATAGTCCCGAACAGCAGAACTGGCCAGGAATTCGCCCCAAGCATAGTTTGACCTTATGCATTCGGTGGCAATAAAACTGCCTAGCTCCCGTGCTACAGGTGCAGGCTCTACGTATGAAATGAGATACCGATTGTCTACGAAGATAGGTTGTCGTTCGACGCCTGGCCAGATTATAGAAAAAAAATACCAATCCAACTGCCTCACAACAGTGAGTTTCACGAAATGCGACTGCGATAATCGGGACAGATAAGCTACAAGTTCCCAGCTAGAATGCCGGCGCCCTGTTTCCCGACGCGGGTTCTAAGCTTCTCCCCTCAAAAGAATGCAACAGCCGCGTTCAATAAGTTAGCCATTCTTTTGACATATTACTGAGAAAAGATGGACAGTAAAAGTTAGAACTCACCATGGGTGACTTTCGCCTTCGAGGAACAGCATATCCCGATGAGCTGAATGAGCGAGACTCAGTCTTGTTATTATCCTCTCACTATCAATATGTATATATCATCATTCCGCAATGAATAAGGCATATATTACATGGTGGTAAAGAGCAAAGGTGTGCAGTTTTGAGAATCGCTGCTACTGCTTTCATGGCCTGTGGATTGCGTTTCTCCTCGAAGGATAGAGTCCCCTGCTACTTTCAAGGTTGAGTTTACAGAAATATGTACTAGGCTGCTGAGAAACTTTTGTCGTATTTTTCGAGGTCAACTTTATTACTTCAGAAAATATAAAATTCAATCCCGTTGTTGCCGACTACCTCTAAGCAACGTTCGACCTGCGCAGCTTATGGATGCCGTTCCACCAAATATTCCACCATGGATTGAATCACTATGTTTAACGTACTTGGCACAGTGGATACGTCCAGTTCTTATGGCGTCATCCACTATCGATCTTGTGTCCTGGATGTTCCATGCGACATCGTCGTCCAGCTTTACAATAGCTTGCACTGTCGGGCAAATGGCCGCAACATATCTCAGAGCTGCGATATTCTGTAATGTTGGAAAATAAGAGGTCTTTTTCGAGTAAATGCAATGTTTTCGGTTCGCTTTCTTAATTCCTTCCTCACGTTTTGAAA